GATTTTATACTTACATGGCATAAATTGTAGCACATGTACTAAGACTTAATAAAGCAGAACTATTCATGCTAACTTCCTCAGAGTTTATGAGCAAATCTTGAAATTTGCTCGATCGACCAAGTGATGGTAAATACGTTGAGCCAAATGGCTAATCATCACAGATCACAGGGGACAAAATTCACTAGTATAGCGAACATAGCCCGCACTCTTATTGTAATTGTACGTTCTTTTAAATTTTAGTGTTTGTTACTGACAATTCTTAGAGTAATGTGAAGCCAACAGTATCCTAAAATGTTGGGGACCCTACATGGTGCACAATACCCATTGGTGTCGACAAACAAAAACCTGCTGATAAACCAACGGGAAACATAAAAGCGGCCCTTGTGGTACATTTCACCAATATCCATGCGCGCATGACAACGGCGACGCGGTGTGAAATTTTAAACAAACGTTCGCATTCAATTTATATTCCGGTGGGCTCCGAGCGGTGCGCGGTTTAGCAAAAACGACCAGGACAATGGTGTGGCTGCGGCCACATACTGCTCGGTGCATATGGCTCGATACGACTGACGACTTATGACTTCCTGGCACCATCATTATTATCGTAATGGATTTTATGATCTAGGGACCATTTTTTCCCTCGCAGATAATATTTTTTTGGAGGTTTTACCCGAAATAATAGCATATTACATTCCAGAAGCAACGAAAGGTTTGATAGATACTTATATTAGAAAATTTTTTTCATACGTCATTTATTTCACCTGATGTGACTTCTGTGTTCAGAATATCACCCAAACTAATCAAGCGAAGCAAATCTCGAAGAAATTCGCGAAATTTTTACGTAAATTGTCAAGTAGGAAAACGTATCGGACAAGTGATGGATTGTAACGAAGTTTCGTCCTGCAATTGAATGTTTGAATTGAAGACTTACTTTGAATATAAATGTTTCATCACAAAATTTGATATTACTGTGAACCGTAATCTAATCTGTAATCTTATAAGTCAAGTTCTTCTCATTGATCAACAACATAAATCGAAATTACTAAATTAAGGCTCTCAAAATAGAGTCCCACAGGGTTATAGTCCTGGGCTGTCGGCATTTAATTGTTGATAAGAAACGACAGCTGCAGAAACCTCTTTTGTACTATACAATATTTATAAAAAGAATCATTAAAAAGCCGTTAATTAGTCAGCATCGTCCCACACAACTGTGTGTCCCCACAGTCGCCGCTCTGATCGGATATGTGGGCGATAAGAGGCGATCGATGCCACACTCGCCTTGTATAACGCATCGCCTCATTGACTGCTCATGCCGCTGCTCTCCTGGTACTTTGTATCGAAAGTATCGATGATTTCTCGCCGCACATCGAGACAATCGAGTGCATCATCAATTCTCTCGATAAATTTAAGATGAGATTCTTTTAAAAATTAAACGTCGATTTTCAGATGCATTATGCAAGATACTGGGGAATAACAAGACTTAATAAATATTGTGTTTGCATAGTATCTCCACAATGATGGTCGAAGGAACTGAATAACTATTCGTTACAATAGAGTACTTACTAGTTTGTTTCCCTACGAAAGCGACGGAACGATTTTTTTTACCTGTCATGGACTTAATTATAAAACGAAAAACCATTTTCTTTGGAACCAATGAACCAAAACTTGGTACTTTTCGGAGTTGTAGATTTTTATATCAAAGTGAAGGAATTAACTGCCGCCCAACCCGGTCTCAACCCGCCGCCGCTGCTGTGTGGTGTGGTGACGCGGAATAATTTAATTGCCGCGACGACTGCATCCGTTGTTTTAGCTTAGGTATTTTTATTTTTGCCGGTTATGCTGCAAAATTTGGCTAATTTGTAAATCTATTCTACTTTGTACCTTTTTCATGGTAAATGGTGGCGCGATTTTTTTACCGAATCACCCATAACCCAAAAAATATATCCTACATTTAAAAAACATTTTGTTCTATGAACATTTTATAGATCTATCTTAATTACCAGGATTAGAGTGCCATAAATTCTAGGAGTTTAACCGGCGCGGCTAGCAAGCGTTTAATTCTGCCAGGTAAAAACGGGTAGGGTGCGGGCATTCATTTTAATCAGGCGTGTCACCCGCGAGCGACCGATTGCGTGATGAATTATACCTCTGTTGTGCGCTGTACGTCGAAATATACTACTATGGCTTGCATGAAATTCACATGTATGTTGGCTATAGATGGAATGAATGCTGGTACACTAGTTTCGTTATTTGTGTTTTCATAGTTCTGGGGAACAACGTCCTATTATATCTATTCGAGCATAGATTTTATCTTCATCGTCTCCGCATATGCATTATTCATAAGAGTTTACAATTCGATCTCAAAGTTAGCCTTTTTTTAAATCTTATATGCAGATGAGGATATTAATAATCAGTTACATCCTAGGACCTGTTAAAAATTACAACTCTTCTAATCCTGACAATTTAATTGGAAGCGTTGTCAATAGTCATCTTATAAAACTTTACAAAACCTTGAATAAGATGACTAAATTATACAAGAGGCTGGCAGAATTTTATATGATGAAATATATAGCCAACACCAAGTTTCCGTAGCCATACGGCGGGTGTTCAAACGCGACGTGGCAGCCGGCGCACCGGCAGAGCGGGTCGCTCGCTCATTTATTATTAGCGGGCCGGCCGCGCCTCATGTTTATTAAAGAGGCCGCCGCCGCCGCCGCTGGCCTCACCTGAACCTGAACCCAAGAGGGGCTGGGTCCCACTTATTAATATTTCGACGCGTGTTCACACTGCTTTTGAACGCTACTTGCTTAGGATATTGTTGGTTGGGATTCTGGATATAGATATGGCGAGTAAAGGACATATTGCAAATTATATTTATATGTGACACTGAACTGAAATTGCAAGAATGTGATTTATTATTGATTCATTTACGGAAGAAATAGTGTTTGTATTGAATAAACCTCTTAAAATGGTATTTGACACCCTGCAGTGACAAAAAGATAGTACTTCACATCGTCGATTGAAAAGGAAACATTGCCATTACAATAACTACCTTCTTTGTCAAATTACACTTAAAACTTTAAAGTTCGCTAAGGGTTCATCTATGAATGTCAGATCGTATAGGTTTACCACTGAATGGACGTTGTTTGGGCTCGGCAAGTATTGTATCTGTTTACCTCTGTCATAGAACACGCTTATGCATGTTTGGTAACAGCAAGCAACTACAGTGTTGCATCTCGGGTTGCATACATACTCTGATAGCCGAAGATCCGAGAATGATCATGCAAATATTTGAACACTACAATACCTGTGGCATTTGAAAATTGCGAAAGCATGCGAGGGTGGGGAATATGATATATGTTTGTTTGATAAGAACTGTTGAAATTGTTGGGGCAGCTATGATTACTAAAATTCGCCAATACAGTCACCTCAACATAATATCATCCCGCGTTCGTAGATTGTGAACTTGACTGCAAAACGTGACGATTTTGACAAATACTCTTTTTTTGCGGAGGACTGTTCCATTATAATAGTCTCATATGTTGACCCATCAACATATAACAGGTGTGCTACGAGAACATTCGTTGCCTGCTATGAATGGTTAAATGTAGATAGATCGACCTGGAACTTGAAACGTAAGACGATATATCATTTGCATGCAAGCTCCAATGGCGTTTATATTGCAATTTCGTCGCTTCATTTTGCTGTGGTATAGATGCCCGCATTAATTTAACTGTCAGCATTCACATTCAAAATTAGTAACACAACGCTCTGTTCATATGTTTTCTAAAAATAATCGCTTTTGATTGATCTCTTACATATTTATATCATCCTAGTACTTCTTTTAACACAATCACCTGTTTTCTCCGATGGTATTTAATATTATGCTCAATTTCTGAACAGGACTGAGTTGTTAACAAGTCACGTTGTTTAATTTCTACAATAATAATAACAATAATATTTGTGACGACTCGTTCTATATATATAGTACATATTAATTACAATTGTTTAGTTACGGAAACAATGTCGTTTGATTCTCGACATTCAAGGGAAAAATAATTACAATCTCATCAAGTTCTCATTCGTCTCTAAGCACACTTATGACGAGAAAGCTGAATAAAGATTGTGTCTCATCGAGTATCTGGTTTACAACACTAGATTGCAAAAGGCGCCCAACCGGCGGACGGCGCGGCAGCTCGCCACAGCCAGTCGCGTCACCGTGATGAATGGCCCCGCATCGGGTTAACGATAATGAAGCTGCCTAGAAATTCATGCGAGCCTGGTACTGCGGTGGCACACTTCACCTGTTCTTTGATCTCCGGCTCATTCCTCTAGCTCTAGCGTCAACATTATATATATATTTCAATAAGACTATTTATTCTAACTAGTGTTCTTTCTCTTTAAAGTCAAGGTTCTCTTTTCAACAACACTTTTGTTAAAACTGTGATTAGCTTAGCTGATTACGTATTTTTGCGAGCAGCGCGACCGAATATCGCCTATCTAGTCACTCTAGTTGTGATGACTATTGGATGACTAATACAATCTGTTCATTCGTTATGCTGTCTTGGTGTTTCGGAAACGAAATCACCTGTTTCTTCAGCTGATCGCGGCTCTTCTGTCTCATTCGTAGTCAGCTGCGTAAGCGTTTTAAAATAAGATAAGGTTCATGAATTATTTGATAAAGACGCATAAATAAAACAAATGTTTGAGCATTCTTTGCTAATGTTAGCGTATAAGGTGTCTCTATATGCTACGGTGTCTCCAGCGGCGATTTTGTCAAAAGCCTGAAAACCAGCAAATTGCTGAGGCTTTTTTAACCTTTTAATGTTTAATTAAGCATTGTTTTATCTTATGTTTTGTTTGAAGAATAAAGTCTTTTTATTATTTTATTATTTATTATTAAGAATTGTTTTGTCGCATGTAGCAACAATGAAGTGCCATTATTGAACAATGACTCTGAACGAGATATATTAGACGAGGGATACATTACATTAACTTACCTTTAAAGGTGGCGTCGGAATGTACAATGGTGGATCGTTCTGAGAACCGGTGTATATCTCCTGACCATCTGGCCCTTTGGCGCACCCATCTGCATCCACGACACTATATCTGCATACGATACCATCTGCTGGTTTCGCATCGTACCCTGGAGGCTTTCCGATATGGAATCCCTTCGCTTTCACCCAAAAACGGAACTTGGAACTGTCTGAACTATTGCATTCCTCCCCACGCAACGTGCGTAGGATTCGTGCGTACTTCTTTAGGGTAATTGTCTTGGTTTTCGCCAAATCTCCATAAGTCTGTATTACCCACGGTTGATAAGTCGAAAACAGGTCCAACTTGGGGTCTCCCGTTTGTATTTTCGGTCGCTTGTTGTTATTTTGTTCGTTTTTTTTATCGCTCTTAGAGCTACTTGGCGTTGACTTACGCTTGGAAGGTTTCCTGGGAGTTTTCACCGGAATGGCTTCTTGAGTCAACTTTTTACGGAGTCCACGATCCGATATCATAGCTGCTGCCATTTCGATATCTGACACTCACTTCACTTCTAAACTAAATGAGAGTTAATAAATAGTTCATATTAATGAAAACGTCACTTAATTGTGCCTGTAAACAGAACCACGTAAATGTACGCCCGGTACTTTTTTGTTCCATAAACGTCAAGAGGAATCAGGAAATTTTCAATAAAAGTTCGAAAACTGAAAAGTTTGCAAACTCGTGCGTACAACACTGGGAAGAAGTTTTGACTGCGAACTTCTTGTCGACTTAAGGACTTTTAGAGGGAACTTTTTGCCGGCGAATCTCCGAGCTGTGAAATATGTGGCCCGTTTGCCTTATTATTTCTGATTAACGCCGACTCCCGCGTCGTCGTCGCGTTAGGAATGAGTAACTATAAGAAAGAGTCCTTAATTCGTTTCGTAATTTTAAACGTTCCAGTAAGTGCTTAATAACGATAAATTATTATTTTTTTAATGTTAAAAACCAAAAATTCCAACATGAATTTAGGCTTCCAATAAAGTTGTCTAAACTACGAAAAACCTCAAAACAAATTGTGAAATAAAATATAAAGTCATTTGCTAAATGTTAAAATAAACACCAACAGGTGTCAGAAGTTAGGGAGTCGCAAAAAATTCGGAAGTTGAGAAAAGTGCAGCAAAAGTTGGGGTAAAAAAGTACCGAGCGGCGTGGGCCGTGGCGGCGGGATGCGTCGACCGAACGTCCCGTTCGAGATCGCTTCGCTTCGTCGGATTCGAGTTGAAGCGCGACGAGGAACAAAGAAACGACCGCTCGCAAAGGGCGCGCGCGGAGTACTGAACTGACTACCAACCGCCGGCCGCCGTCGTCTGGGCCAAACCGGGCACGTGCGGGACGGGCCACGCTAATTGCCCACAAAACAATCAGGCGAACACGGGGGCAAAGCGATAATGCTCACACTTGCACGTCCTTCGAGATAACATGCAACCTATTGTGTTGTACACATAACGTCTACATATTTTATCTCCTTGCATCTATACATCGGCGGCTTTGCGGCTACGTTTAACCACATTGCATGGTGCAGTTTCATGATATCGCGCCAATGCCGTTTGTTACGCCGCTGTTATCGCAATTGACTTCAACGGCTACCTACAAGCGCACAAAATACACTTCCTTAATTCTATAGTTGTTAAATTGAATATTATTCCATCGTCATATACTCACCAGTTACCATAAATGATTTTTACTCGATTAGGTATTTTTATTAGGTTAGTTCTTTTATAGACTTCAGAAATTATTTTAAATTATTTATTTAATATGCGGCCTCTTGTTTTGAATCTTTTTGAACTCGTGTGCTGATTTTTAACAATAAACATAACTAAATAATCTATCTTGGATAAAGTTTGTGAAACTACTCGAATACAACCAGGTCTTTCTAGTCGGCATGATAAGCAAAGATCTCTCTGAGACACCAGCACTGACATCAGTGCTGGGTAATTGCCATCAGCAGCAATACAAAATCTCTCAGCAACAGATGCACTTAACAGAAACACATTTATAAAACCAGGACGTTTTCTAATCCATCTGCACCTAACATCTGTATCTCTATAGGCAATATTGAGTTTATAGCGCTCTGGCTCAGTTTGCGAGCGCCCCACGCGTCGTAGCGGGCTTTATGACAACCGACTGTCTGTATATGCCGTCGCTAGTTATGGAATATTGACATGCAACATAACTACTTAACTGGGTAGCTATTTTAGCTAGGTTGAACAAGTTGATAAGATATTTTTATATGGCTTGTAAAAACTCGATAATCTACATTTTTTTTTAAATGAGGTTTTCAATTCAACTTTGATTTGATTTTTTTTGTGTTTATTATGCGATTACTCTGGCATTTGTGAAACGAACTTTCACTTTTCGTTAACCGATTTCAATTAAAGTCGGCAAAAAGATGGAATTCCACGAACTTATGAGCTCGGTTTTTTTTTCATAAAAAAGTTACAATTATTATTAACGTAAGTTTTCCGGAACTGTAAGCATCTGTCTTATATTATAAACATGTCAAAAGTCATATTTTACAGTCGCAACACAAGTTATATCAGTTTGTTACTTGTAAAATGAGACCATGTTGTGTATAGTCTATCTTTTTTTAGGACGGAGTAAAATGACATTTTTTATGGTTGCCAGTTTTCATAAAATTTTAAATAGTTATGTAGTTGTAGTCGATAGTTTTATCGATAGATTGTGGAAAAAGATAAAATATTGCCAAAAATGACTGAGTTGTGACTGTTACGACGCTCTAATGATTACTAATTGCGTTATTGCCTTCTTTATTCTTATTTTGACAGTTGACCTACAACTATCGAGATGAATTTATATTCATATACATTTCAACAAAACCAGGCGGATATGGTCATCTATATATGAAATTCAAATGAAAAACTTTAAAATATGTCTCCACTTTTTTTCATAAACATAGTTCTAAATACAGTATATGTATGTGTGAACTTATAGAAATTGACAATTCAAATGAACTTGGGCTCAGTAATAGGATGAATAATGGGTCGAGGATGATTCAAATGAAACAAGTTCGGCTATTTAATCGATAAGCGTGACCAATATTCAGTCGATACTCGATTTGTCGACTGCAATCACGAGGTGCTCGCGAGCGGGCAACAGCAACATTTTTGTGCAACGAGTTGTCATTTTACTCCGTCTTCAAAAAAGACGGACTATGTTTGATATTTATAGAAAAGTTACAATTCCGGCTTAGAAAATTGTGTAACTGCAAGTCCACTATTTAATAGAGAAAAGGTTAATTACTTTTTAATTATCAATAAAGTCATGTTAATCAATCTCAGTAAATTATTAAGCCTTGAAGTACTTTGCCATACATTGCGTTTACTTATTTCGGCCATAATATTCTGACGATTTTTTTTTTATTTGTATTAATCCGCTTAAGGAGTCTTTGGAAGGAGAGATACCCCAAGGCATCACTCCCCGCTGTCGGAACACCTCCCTCCAGGGCATGATCTATAAACTTGGAAGTCCCTGAATAATCTGCGCACCCAAGTCGGCCGAAGCAAGGAGTGCATGCAAGGGCGGGGTTATAGCTCGGATAGCGCATGTCTGTGTGGTGTCTCTCCCCAGACAATGGCACATCTTTTGTCCTGCCCTGCGTGTCCCTACACCACCACACGAGAGGACCTGCACAACGCCACTGATAATTGTTGTAAAATGTTACTGGTTGTAACAATTAATAATAAAAAACATAAAATACTACTATGTCAATATTAAAAATTAGATGCTTCTACCACTAATGAAATCTTGTAAAATCTTCTAATTATAACGAAATGACGAAAACATCATTTCTTTAATAAATCAAAATTATAAAAACAATCTATGTATCACTTTATAAGAAAAATTATTAGTGATAAATCTATTTCTTTAAGCTTTTTAGAGTCTAACGAAATGCCTGCTGATATCTTAACAAAAACCTTGCAGGAAACCGCGCATGATAGGGTATATAAAAGGTTTAGGTTTGATAACTTGAGTTAGTTAAAAATTGACTTGAAAAATTCTTTTATACTAAGTTTGTGATGGTATATTTAGTTTATCTTATATTCAATTAGTTAGTCTTTAGATATATTTATTTTATTTTATTAATGGCAAAATTAATGTTGCAATAAATAGCATGTTAGTGGTTGTAACAATTACTAGCAAAAGATATAAAATACTTCTATATCAATAAACAAAATTAAGCGCTTTTTCTTCAAATTATAACAAAATGACGAAAACATCTTTTCTTTAAAACATTCGTTCAAATATATAACAAGTATATAAAAATTATTAAAAACAAAACGAAAAGCCCGACTGCAACAAAATTTTGCTGGAAAGATAAAAAAGATATTCCCCCTCACTATTTTCATTATTTTATAGCCTATGACACTCCCACAATCAAGACGAATCGACGACACTTCCTATTTCAAAATCCATCAAGCCGTTTAGGCTGTACAGCGTGAAAAAATGGACATACATAGTTAAATGCATACACTTGAAAATCATAACCCTCCCTCAGTCGAGTAAAAACTCACATCACTGGTCCTCACAAATATAAACGTCTAAGTTGACACGCCAAGAAGAAGACTCCGTTGAAATTCTCTTTCTACAAATAAGTCAGTAAATTGATTACTTAATGAATATAAGTACTTAATTATTATTACAGTATAGGCACACAAGGATGCCTGTTGCCTGTCACAGGTGGTATTCAGATTGTGGTATGCGCGGTCAAGTTCGACGTTTAGGATTTAAATTCAATTCTAAATGGCATAGAATACGAAATATCCAAAGTGTCAGTGTCACAAGATGTGGCTCTTTACTATAGTTATATATCTCTAAGGTAGTTTATTGGTTTAATGCTAACAATTTGTTAAAACACAATTTGTTTGTGTGTTAAATTTGAATTACCAAATTTCTATGCTTGGACTAGACGATTTTACGTTTAAACGTAAAATCGTCTAGTCCAAGCATAGAAATAAATGAAGAAAAGTTAGACCTTGTTAATAAAGCAGTCTTCTTGAGTGACTTTAGATAGTAAACTTCGATGGTTTCCACATATATCTTCCCTGGCCAGCAGATTAAGCTCCGCTGCATACGCAGTCCGCAGAATACGTGAGCTTACCGATGTTAGTACTGCTAGACTTGTTTACTTTAATTACTTCCCTAGTATAATATCCTACGGGATTCTCATGTGGGGTAAAGCAGCAGATATTCAAACCGTATTTGTATTGCAAAAACCAGCGATTCGTTCTGTGTACCGTCTAGGCTCTCGCGTTTCTCTCAGAGAAAAGGTTAAGGAGACTGGTATCATGACTGTGGCATCACAGTACATTTACTCAAATATTTTATATGCCCGTAAAAATATACATCATTTCAATAAGAAAGAAGATATTCATAATAATATCAACCTTAGAGCTAAGTCCAAACTCATAGTATCACGATTTCGTTCAATCAAGGTAAACAACTTTTATGGGGAACTGCATATGTTTTTACAATAAGATTCCGGAGCATATAATAAGATTATCATTTCCTAAGTTAAAAAACTACATTAAAAATATTTTGATCAAAAAGTCATATTACAAACTTGAAGACTACGTGTTAGATAAAGATGCATGGAAAGACGACACGGCTCCAGAATCCACACAAATTTGATTCAAAGTGTATTTAAGTTTATTTTGAAAAGAGCAATCCATTGAGTTTCTGGCTCGTTCTTCTCAGGGAGGTCAGCGTAGTGAACGAGCAGTAGCTTAAATGTGAGGTTTTCAAGTGTAAATTTATTTTACCTATGGAATAAATAATCTTTGACTTTGACTTTGACTTTATTTTCAATGTAAGCTGGCACATGGCGCTATTAGCGTCTATCGCAAAACTAGGTTCGACACAACCGGCTTTAAACTGATAGTGTAGCGTTATCATGTGATCGTTTGTACAGTAAAGAGCACATCAAGCTTGACACTTTGTACTTTGGACCGTTCTTATCGTAAGCGGCATAGAGTTGGATTTAAGAGTCATATTCCAGAACTCTATTCAATGCTCAAGTTAGGACTTGAGTATGATTTAAAGCACTAGAAATCACTAGAAACTAGTCTTAAGTGTAAAGTTTGACGTACCTTTGACCCTGTACCAGACAGGAAAAGATCGTATATTCTCATATGTACTTAGTTCTCGAAAACAATAGAATGTGTACAAATTTTAAATATTTTTATTTCATAGCAAATCATCAAAATGATTAAACGTGCAATTCGTTCGTACTTATATTTCCCTGACA